AGGTTGCTGTGAGCTAGGCTGACGCCACGGCACTCTAGCCCGGGCAACACAGTGAGACTTTGTCTCAAAAAAAAAAAAAAAAGTTATTATGACCATAATACAAAATAAACTCAAGGTTTCCAGTCTAATACACAATTAATGGTACAAGCAATTCATGAGTATATGAATATAAGCAAAACAAGTGTTTACATTCAATATATGGCAACTTGTTTTAACTTCTTCACTGAAGAAATTAAGCAATCTACTGCTACCAACAAATCCATTTCTAACTAGGAAGCATCTGATTTCAAACTAAACTGTAAAAACCAGAAGCAACTTAACAATTTGTTAGAAATAAAGGTTTTAAAATCCCATGAGTTATGAACAGATATTTTTCCCAAAAAATTTGGGTTTTCAGAAATGTAACAAAAAATTCACTATGATAGAAACACTGCCTAAAAACTCCCTATTGCCAAGTTCTTTTAATCCAAATTGATCAAAACATTCCCAACTCGGGTTATAAGTATTCAACCCAAAAGCACAAAATGGTTCAGCATTTATATGAAATTTCTATTTTTATAATATCTAGACTGCTTAGGTCTCAAAAAATGTCAATGTCAGGCTGTTAGCACCAACAAGAGCATCCCAGTCCGATAGAAAACTGTTAAAGAACGGAAATGAGCACTTAAAATGAGGCAATCAAAGGCACAAAATAGAAAATGCAGATTTGAACTCCAAGAAGCGAGCATAAATGTTAAGCTAGTTAGTTAGAAGGGCTGAAAAAGATATCATCTGCCAGAATTAGTGTCTCAATTTAGTGAAAAAAGAAAATGTATTTGTTAAGGCTAAAAATCCTAGCAAGGATCCAAAAATATCTCCACAGCCCCTTTAATAATCTAAAAATATTATGGAGAGGGAAAAAAAAAAAAGAAATGCATAAATTTCCCCAAAATGATCAAACTGAAGTTAAAGCCTGATGTACATGCCACATGAGAGGTAAGTTTCTAAAGCTCATACCTCAAAAATCGCATACTGTATAATATGGAGCCTTTGTGATGTTTTGCATCAAGTCAATCTGTAAGACAGTAGTTACAATATTAGTGAAGACAGTGGGTTAAAACATCGTTGTTCAAACATGAAGCAATATCATTCATGAGTTAGGTGCTCTGAGTTGAACTATAGTCGTTCCCTGAGGGTTCATATATGTTAAAGCAAAAACTGCGATGGAAAGCCACCCCTGTGCCTCAGAGGATAAAGAGACTTAATGTGGCAACCAAAAAAATTCTAGTACATAAGAGAATTAAAAGTTAACTACAACATACAAAACACATGCAAACACAGTTACCACTCACTTTAGTAACCTATTTTGAATATACCAAAAATGTAATAAATCTAGAAGGCCATTCATTTTGAATGACCCCAATCCTTAGACCTCATGTCAACAATCTACCATGTGTTAGAGGATAGTATCTCCTGG